AAACATTTCGGTTCGGTACGTACCTCGGTTTTTTGGTCACGGTTCGGTTCGGTACGTTTTCGGTACAGCAGAATTTTTTTTCACAAAACATATATATATATATATTTTTTTATTATTATTAAACTGTGAATAATGTATTCACTCAAATAAATACAAAATATAATAAAATAAACATTAAGGTGCAGCATTTCGATGAACTGAAATAATCTGTATTTGAACTTTACTGTAGGCTACTAGTACTCACAAAACATAAACTATTAGTTTTGGGTTTTTTATTTTTTATTAAACTGTGAATCTTCACTAAAAAAAATACAAAATAAAATAAACATTAAGGTGCAGCTTTTCGATGAACTGAAATAATCTGTATTTGAACTGTACTGTACTAGTTCCTAAGCAGCCAGCTTGACATTATGACTTGCTTGTCATTGTATTTTCATGTTTTTTTAAAGAAAAATTAACTTGTCCACATTGCTTGCCGAAAGGGCAGATCTGCTGGCACTAACAATGTCTCCTGCTGTGGAGAACACCCTCTCGCTAGGGACAGAGGTAGCAGATACAGCCAGGTAGCGCTTTGCTAACATGGCAACATAAGGATATTTGGCGTTTGTAATAGCTTTGGCTCGGTCTGAACTCTCTGCGAGTGGTGGAGGCTTAAATGCTAGTGGGAGTTGGGTTTGCACTTCAGTCTTTTTTCTTTTGGTACCGGTGATATTCACGTTCGGGTGATGCCTTTTCAAGAGTGTGCAAGTTTGATGTATTGCCAGCCGCGTAACCAATTTTAGTTGAACAATGCCGACAAACAGCTTTGGTTCGGTCCACCTGTCTTTGTCCTTCATCCTTGTACGTAACTGCGAAACCAAAATGTTCCCAAACCGGAGACTTCAATGATGCTGGAGGATTTTCGAGCTCAACTTTATCTGCGTTCGCCATTAATTTTCGACAGTTCCTAAAATTACTGACTACATTTGAACGCATCCCTCTGACCAGCTCTCATAGTATGCCTCTCATCCAATGAAATGACTTGCTCGCTCTATGACGCGTTGAACCCAATGTGAGCAAATGACTCTGAATGCTGCGACGCAGCACCTGAGATTACTTCCAAAAAGTTGTTCACGTTCTCAATTTTTTACGTTTAACGTTATATTCGTTCGGTACACTTCGGTACACTTCGGTACACACCTGTACCGAACCGAAGGGCCCGTACCGAATAATGTCGGTACGGGTACGTGTACCGTTACACCCCTAATATATATATATATATATATCTATATATATATATCTATATATATATCTATATCTATATATATATATATATATATATATATCTGTTTGTTTGTTTAAGGTGTCCAGGTGATGCAGACAGGCTGGACCAGAGAGTGAGAGACAGAACTGGACTCCTCACAGCAGTGAACTTCAGCACAGGTACAAAGACTCTTTTTTCATACTGTACAAAGAATCAAGAAAGATATTGGTTTAAATGAATGAAGTATTGACTTGAATACACTGATATACATTCCATTAAACAATACTAGATCACCTACACATCAGTTAAGTTGAGGGTTTTTTCCATGCAAAAAGTTACATTTAGATGATAACAAGCAATATGACTTTGTCAGCTTTCTAATTTAATGTATTGAAGGCAAAGCTATTTAACACATAGTGAGAACTGCTACTATTTATCTCTCAATATTGTCTGTAAAAAACGTGGTATTGTGTGATGTAAGTGATTCTTTCAGTGAGACAACAGAGCAAGCTTCTACAGTTGCACTACGTTTTGATAACAGTTAAATATTATTTTGATAATAACATATATTTCAATGTTGATGAACTTCATACTGTTCATTCATAATCTGATTGTCTTTGTAGCTCATTGTTGAAATAAAAAAAAAACATTACAATTACAAAATAATTATATCTACAGCCCCTAAACACACAAACACACCGCTTTCATAAATAACACACTTGTTCTGCAATAATATGTTTTATGTTTCCTGTCATTTTTGTTAGGAAAGGACATGCCTGAAAGACACGACATTTTCTCCTTCTCTGAGGGTCAAGAAGAACATCCAAGAGGAACATTAAAAGCTGATGTTATGAGATTTTAAGACCGGTACAGGACATTCACTAAGAAACTACTTTTATTGTGAAAACACAGTCAGCTGATCGAATGCAGCTATTTCCACATCTACACTCCATCAGCTGATTATTTCTATTTGCCTCACTTTATGAGCTTCACAACATGTACCTTGTTTTGCAACGTCACAAATAAATGGGGCCAATCTTCAGTCAGATGTGAATGTGTAATCTAACATTTTCAGTAAGAATAATGGACAAAAGGAGAGCAAATACAAATACAATTTATTGAAATGTGAACCAAAAGTTAATCAAATGTTTTAAATAAAAAGCACATATGGACAGAAGGTGTAAACCTATTAAATGTATTAAACACATTTAGTCAAATAAAGTGACCGACTAGGCCTGTGCAGTTGGTATCAGCTTTGTCCAGCATGGGCTCCTCCATCAGGCCTGGTCCTCCTCGCAGAGGAAAGACCCTCAGTCCTCTCCAAACCAACAGACAGGACGTCCATCACATGGAGGTTTCTCCCTGAAGTCTCTCCTGCTCTCTGGACACCATGCTGTCTCAATCCGTCCACACTGAATATGAGAGGGGGAAAATGAAAATAATAAATGCTTTAGACAATAAGAAACATAAAGTTGACTGTTGAGTTGCTCAGTTTTTTTAGATTGTCAATACTATTACTGTATAACTAATATCTCAGGTTAAGAGGCACATTCAAATAAAGATTGGTCTTTAAATACATTTTGTCTTTTGAATTGTTTGTCTAAAGTCAAGGATCTATAACTAGTACTTAGTTTTAATGATACAGTCTGGTTATTATGCTGTTTGGAGGAGGCCTCACAGGTAAGAGCACTAACTAGCTACCATCACATGTACCTTAGCTTGACTTAAATGTATTAAACGTATAGTTAAGTGATATCAAAATATAAATAACTAATGTCATGCAAACATATTAATATTTGCTTGATTCCAGTGTTGAATTTAGCACAATTGCATACAAACGTTAAGGGGTTTTAAGATTCTGAAGTATTATGTTAAAACTGAATAACTTAGATTATTATTTATAGTTTTGCTGAATAGTTTAATGTCCGCTTACCTTAGAAACGTAAAATGCGACGGCAGCGTGCAGATGGGGAGCATGTTAGCTTAGCTTGGTAGCTTCAGCTAGCTCTGGAACTTCCAACTCGGTGGCAGCAGGTCCCGCCTCGGCTCCGCCTCTTTGCCCTTATTTGGAGCAGGCGGGAGTTGAACTCTGACGTCACTGTCGAGCCGTTAGTGGCCGACTCCGCCTACTAAGGGCTTCACGGCAACTCTGCAGAATCCTATGGGTGACGTCACGGACCCTACGTCCATTTATATATACAGTCTATGGTTTGAACACATTCTTGTGTTGACTGCATACACAGCATTTCACTGTTGCATATTTCTCTAGGGTTCATGCAATTTCACTTTTAATAGTTTTTGTATAGTGTTCAACATTGTTCTAATGTAAAACAATGTAGAACACCTACATTGTTTTAATGTGACTTTCTAGTATTGGCTGAGCTCGCTTGGAACGTCAGCTGAGGTATTGCAAAGGGAAACCAAAAAAGAGAGCCCAGTTGAGTAGAGACAAGCAGAGGCAATGCAGCATTATGTAACATTTAACGACTGCAGTTCTGCAGGTCATTGGTCACAAAATAAAGCAATGCAAAAAGTTTGACATGATGATTTCCCTAGATTAGATTATACAGTAAATCATTTAAAAGGGCTTTTTGTGATCACGTCGATTTTTTATGTATTGATATTTATTGAGGACCTTTGTTATACATTCTCTTAAATGTTTGTTGGCATTGACCTATAGCATGGTTCACTGTGATATTCGTGCCAAACCACCCACTACTACTTATCCCAGAGAAACCAGATGTGTACATTAAATGTGTTGGGGGGTGGACTTCTACCCTGAAACATCCACTGCTCATACACACGTTTATGTGTTTAAGTGCAGTGTATGTATGTTGAAACAGTTCATGGTAAAAACACCACCATGCTTAGTCCATCTGTCAAATCAAGTTCATCAAGAGTTTTCTACATAGGAACTAAACAACTGAACATCATTGGCATCATGGACATAAGATGACATGAAACCCAACCACATATCTATGGTTGTGGATAAGGGAGGAAGTGAAAGGCAAGCAGATGGGAATGTATAGCATGGTGGTGTTTTCCAGTGAAATAAGTTATAATTACGCTGTAAAACACAGCCAGAGGCAGCAGAGAACAATGCAGGACCTGCAAACACAGACTGTGTGACTTAAACACTATCAGCTGTGCTCACACTGTCAGCTCATTCAACCACTGTTTACACCCCTAATATGGCCCCTCTCTCTCTTTATGTCATTATCAGTCTCTCTTTACCCCCCCTTTATATCACTCTGTGATAGTGAAGTGTGGGAGAGTACATATTTACCTAAAGAGAGGTGAGACATTTCACAGCCACTTGTTGGTAAACATGGGCCATTGTCAAATATAATTTATTACTCATAAAACATGTGGAATGAGGCATCCCTAACACAAAAATAAAGACGTTTTCTACATCTGGCGAAATAGTTGGTAATTACTCAGTATTTTCAAAAAAAACATTCCTCTCGTCGCTGTTACAAGTAAACTACGGCTTCTATTTGATGACAGTAATTCAGTAACAAGTTTTTGACATGTAAATGTCTTCAAATCATTATAAGGGCAAAAACTGATTTTATTGACTTAAAAATTATCGTATTGCTTCCGCCAAGACAGGAATAATCCGTTCCACTGCGTACCAGCGGCTTGAACTGCAGCGTAACTTAAAATGACAGCAGCACTGATGGAGGTTTGTAACTGTCCAACTCTGTGCACATTTTCTTTCCATTAACCAGTCTTTAAAAACTGCCAGAGCCCATACCTTGTTAGTCTGTCTTCTTTTGCTGTTCCCGTTAGTGTTAACTTCCTATGGTCTGTTGTCCATAGCTGACGTGAAATCGACAGGACTTGATATGACTGCACAAAGTCCCTTGATCCTCAGTAGCAACAGTCATGTGATGCTTAGCCGCAGAGTTTAAGCGAGTATTAACAACCTCTGAAATGTACAAATTGACCAATCAGAATCGAGCATTCAACCAAGCCGTGTAATAGAGTGATGCAGGGATGGCGTATTTACCCGGAAGTAAGCTGCACATGGGTTACCTCGACAAAAAAACAATGGGATTTCTCCATAGGATTTTGGAAAATAGCTCGAAATAAGGGCTGTGGAAAACGAACCTGTTTGATAAATGCACGTTTTGTTCAGCCGGATAATGTCCACATGTCTACCATACTTTTATATTTTACGAATCATAAATCTAATCACCAGAAGCAAAATGCTAACGTTATGCTATAAAAACGAACTACAGCCGAGTACAGCAGGGTCGCACGACTTCAAGATCCATATTCAAAAATACAGATTCAAAATTGTACAAGTTGTAGTGTTTGTTTTAACAGTTCTCAAGGGCGCAGCCCCAGGTACTTGCTTTCAAGCAGAACAGGGGCAAACAAACTTAGCGGAAGTGTTTACGTGTTCGACAACTTCTGTAGTCCTATTCAGCCACTTGTTAACAACCATCGTTTTTCAGACACATAAACTCTTCAAAAATCACCAGTGGGGTCACTGCTGATGTATTTAATGTCGTAGAACAGAGCGTGATCCGTCTCTTACATTTGTGTCAACCACAGACCTTATTTTGAGCTATTTTCCAAAATCCTTTGGAGAAATCCCATGAGCCGCTTTCACACCAAGTGCTTTGCCGTATTTAGTTCCCAGTACTTAGTCCCCAGTACTTAGTCCCCCCAAACTCTTTAGTCCCTGGAACTGTCCTGTAGATCGCGTTCACACCGGAATAAGTCCCTGAGGGAGGATTACGCAAATGAAGCCGCTGACGTCACTTCTTCTTCTTCTGCTTTGGGTTTACTGGCAGGCCGCAAACAACTTCACGGCGTATACTGCCACCCGAAGTCCCGGAGTCCCCCGGAGTTGGGGACTGGCTTCAGTAGAAGCTGCTGGGTAGTGTCTTCCGAGTAAATCGCCACAAGCGCCAACACCTCCTCATCACTCCACCACTCCCATGTTTTCTTTTGTGTTGCTATAAGTTAGTCTCTCTCCGTTGGTGCGCTGGGCTAATGCTAATAATGCTAATGCGAGCAAATAAAATGGCGGCTTCACAAAACTTTTCGGAGTTTTACGGGGCGTGGTTTGCAATTCGCCCAGCCAACCCGAAATTGTTAATGTGGCCGACACACCCACAAACCATTTCCTCCCCAGGAAAGTACCACCTCTCTAGCAGGAACTATCTGGGGGTGAAAAGGATCGCGCGAACTAGGTACTAGTTCCAGATCTTTTTGGTGTGAAACCAAAATCCCTAGAACTATCGGCCTAGTTTCTTGGAAAAGTACTCCAGTGTGAAAGCGCCTATTGACTCTGAGACGAGGGAACCAGTAGTGGTAAAATTCTAACTGACTTCCGGGTTTTAGGACTCGTCACTGCACCACTCTATAATGTATGATAATTACAGCATGATATAGTAAACATATGCAAAAGGTAACAGGTTGTGTATCAGCATCTGATGAAGTGAAACTAGAACAAACCTGTGATGATTATAAAGAAAAATAATCCTCATGCAAGGTTTTTGTCCATAAAACTTTGGCTGTAGAGATGTTCCATGTGAAAGTTGCCAAAAGTAGACCTTCACCTGTCCAACAGTGATTATTCTGTGACCTGACCTCCCAGGGCTTGTGTGATATCATTAGCACACAGTAAGCAGTAATTAATAAACCCTGTTCTACTTTATTAGGACTGTCAGCAACAAGGCACGGAGCAATTAGTACAAGCATGCTATTTCCATGAATTACCACAAGTGCAGAACATTTAAGAAGCTATCAAAGGTCAGACTCATTATGGAGGACAGTATTTAGTGTCAGCTCCATTGGCTGCTGCTTATTGCTCAAGATGAATTTTCTCTGTCAGGACAAACACAGATATTAAAGTATTTGTATCGAGACTGGGGCATCTATGGTAAAAATAAAACAAGTTCAGAGATACAAGGATAAAGTATTGTCCTTGTACAATACAGGGCCATGAAGTAAGTGGTTCTTAATTTTCCGTGAGAAATACAGATACATGTTACTGTTAACAGGTTTTGGATGTGTGAAATTCTGATGAAACTTATTCTACCCCAGTTCCATTGATGTAGACAGTCATATGTGTCCTCCTCTCTCCTTCTTTTTCTAAAATCAATCAAACTCAAACACAAGTGGCAATACGTATTCAATCATATTATGTTAACTTAAATGATTTAAGCAACTGTTAAACCCTAATTGTGTGATAAGAGTTCACAACAGATGGTGACGATAAACAGAAAGATGGACAGACCAATAATGTTTTACTCACATTATCCCTGGAAAATATCTGGAGTTTTCCTTTCACACATGTACCACACAACAGGAGATTGTTTTAATGTCAGGTTCTCACATTGGGCTGCTCCATGTAATGTTTATATTACATAGAAGCCATGCATGTGTAAAAGGTGCTTAGGATTCCTAAAATGAATTCGGACTGGTGGTGACCTTGCTGTCACAGGTATTGCCATTTAGACAACCATTTTTTTCATAGCAATGGACACTACACTTTGACTTCTACTTACAATGAGGTTATTCAATCTTTGACTTCAGAATGGTACTTATAGCCTGTGTAACTTCATTATCCTGAGCTAATGTGCTGGTGATCAGGGTGTGTTTGAATAAGGAAAATGGGGCAATTCAAAGAAAGCTGTGGAATAACAATCCACTAAAGTATCCTTCTGCTTTTCAACATTGAATCTTGTCATTTACGTCAGTCTGAATTGTAAATACTGTGAGAATAAATCCAGTGGAATTATTTTTTTATTTTTTTTTATATATATATATTATATATATATATATAAAATAGACCCTAACAAGCTGTTTTTGAAGTATGGAGGTGGTCATGGTGGCCTATAGTTACAGGTAAAGTGGGGGTTCAAGATTAGTGACAGTCAAGACTAGATTTGTGTGCATATCTATCCACCCTAAAAAATACTGGGTTATTTTATCTACCCAAACGGCTGGGCCATTTTTAGATTGCATAATGCAATGTGTTCTAAGAAAATAATAATTGTATGCATGAAAACCATGGATTCTACTCTTTTCTTTTAGTATTGGATAATGTAAGAGAACATTGATTTGTATATTCATCCAAAAAATATCCTTTTATCTATAAAGGCTATATCTTTTTATTTCCTACTATACTATACAGGTGCATGAAATGTTTAGATGTCCTATACAAATAATGTTCAATACTTAAATGTTCAGGATCTGTGGGAAGTGGAATAGCTGAGGTCTATCATATTCCCCTTTTAATATCTTGGATATTTTCCAGTGTCAGCCTGCACTCCTCTCCTCACCCTGAGGACGTTTCGCTGTGACAGGCGGCTGAGCAGCAGCTCTAATGGGCTCTCAGTTGGTTTTGTCCTGCTGAGAGTTTCTCTACAGGGTTGCTCATATAGCCCTCACACTGACAGGGATATTCCTGCACCCCCCCCCCCCCCCTTCCTGCCGACCCACCATGATAAATAGAGGTTTGCCACGGCATTTGGCTTGTATGCACGTCTCTAAGTTTCAGGAGACACTAGCAGACACATTCTTAACCCTTAGGTGAAGTTTAGCAAAGCTGGAGATACACAACATTCCATTTCATTTATAAACGTATATTTAAATTGTGGCAATGACTGAAATTATATATTTTACAGATACACGAATAAATAAAGAACCCCCTGGTGAAAATCATTAAAGGGGCACTGCAAAAAAAAATTATTTAGAAAGTTCCATTCTATAAAACCTTCACAGTGAATGGAACAAAAAAGTTATCTGAGTGATTTATTGGTAGCTGAACTGCTATAGACATAGATCTGTGTTAGACACAGCCAATCAAGTTGAGCATAATCACTTCAAACATTTGGGGTAGAATAGATCGGTCCAATGATAAGTGAGGCCCTGAGCTAGGGTCAGAGGTCAAGGGTCAGCAGGACGGCTAGGACCGAGCTGGGAACCTGTGCCTGTTCAGATATCTGTCCTTTACACGGCTGCTTCTGTAAACACAGCACTATACAAATAAAGGTTATACATGTGATACCAATAAAATGCTGTCAAAAAGGAGCTACGGTTCATTACATTGGGTAAATGGAGCAGTCTATAATTTAGTACTGCACAGATCGTTGGCATGTATAGCTAACATCTAACAGTAGGGGCATATCAGCAGTGTGCAAACACTAAATGGTTCAAATGAATGCACTGCATAATTGTTCACAGAATACAACATGGCATTGTACTAAGGGAAGTATTCAAATTGAGACAGAGCATGTGTGTAATGTGAAGGGCGTCACTTGTAGTGATGCACCCTGAGAAATATTAATCAACTATACACGCACCCACCACGGATAAGCGGGAGAAGATGGATGGATGGACACGCATATATTTTGGTTCACGACTTTGCTATAATACAAACCAGTTATTTGCTAGCCATACAGCACCAACCACACAAGAGATAGAGTAAGCAACTAGCTGGTTAACATATTTGTAGCACGCTAGAAGCAATCTAGCTAAAAGAAAATAACAGAGCAAAAGGGAGAGTGAATTTTGGACTTATATTTATTGACACGTAATAACTCCTCATAAATGCAAACTTGTGTTATGCTGTGCGTGTGTGACAGTTATTTTGATTTGATGATGCTCTCTGTCTGCTGGATGTGTGAACAGTTTGCTTAAACTTAAGCCTTGTTAGCTTTATAAACACATAATGTCAGGTGTTGTGTTTTAGCTTGTTTCATAGCTGCGAAGTGGACAAAATATATGAATTTAGTTTTTTTTAAATACAGGGCACAAGGTCAAGAATATTTATATATTTAGGTAAATCCCCCTCACATTAAATGTTCCAGTAGACAAACAATCAAACCAAGTTAAATCAGGGTTTATCAGAACAATTTAAGATGA